CAAACGTGAAAACTTTGGTTCACGTCATCTCTGCTAATAAGAGGCCCGGTTCAATCAGGCTGCGGTCTTTGACTTGCAAACTTCCAGCACCGGCTGCCCGAAGAGGTACGGCGCCCACAACTGGGCATTGCGTCGCATGGAATGTGGCCGCATTGTATGGAGAGCTATCGGCATTGAGCAATGCCCCCCGAGTACTGCGACAGCGACTCCAATACCAATGCACCCACGCGCCCGTTGAACCAACCGCCAAGCGGCATCCTGTGGAAGAAGTGGGCACTCTTCTCCGCCGCTTCTCGGTCTAGGCTCCAGAAAATGCAGAGCATTTGGACCCGGGGTTGAACGGAGCCAATATTGGTCGTCAGACGGGGTCTCGGGGGAGGGTCTGCAGCAGGTCACCGGCTTTTCCATGCACTCGCGGCTCGCCTTGTCATGCTACTGCTATGCTACCGTTTTCTTCAGGGAATCGCCCATCACACCGCACTTTAGCTGTAGCTCCAAGCCGCGTTGGCAGTTGCACAAGTTTGCACTAACGCTTCGGATTCTCTAACGCGCTGTGCTCACTTCCTGGCGCCCTGCTGCCCCCTACGCCTGACGGCCGGGCCGTACTACAGAAGGTGACTTTTCCTCTCGGTCCTTGGCGATACAATGGTTCAGCGCCACAAAGCTATTGTGCTCCAGCTGCATAGCTCCAGTTGCCCGCATGGAGCTCTCTCACGGTTAGGGCAGGCACTGAACGAGACCGAAATCTCTGGTTCACCATCCAACGAACTCACTGGTCTGGACTTTCTGCTCTGACCACCCACCCAGTCTACCCACCCCTGACCTGGCTCCACCTCGTCCCAAGAGAGGCTCCCTGTCTGCTCACTGGCTGATCATCGACCTCAGTGCTATTCCCTCTGGCCAAATTCCAGATTGTCGAGCATCGACGGCATCAAATCAAGACGCACGGAGCTGGGCAATCGAGAACGTCGCTGGTCACAGTGGAGGTTCGTCTCAGTACCTTTGGGGCCCCTCACCGTCATCTGACAGATCTTCGGCGGCAAATGAGACCTGCCATTATCGAACTCGACGGCTCTGAGGTCTACCCCTCGTGGAGCCTTCTTAGACGCCGTGCGGGAGATGACACTGGCCTTGGAATCGCACTTGGCCACTTGTCAAAGGCCCGCTCTTGAACTGCTCGTCATTTGGATCGTCTCAGATCTGGTCAAGCGGGAGTTATTGCGTCCAATAATTCATATTCGCCCCAATTGCTATCACGCGAGATCAAAACCGCTGGTCTTGGAAGCAGGCCGCATTCTCTAGTGCAGGCGACCTCGTACCAGAGGATGAATATAGCGCCGAATGGCGGTGCTAAATACAGCACCGTCGATTACCGAATCCAAGGCGCGACGCGACACGATCCGAGACCCTTTAATCATCACGTCTTTCTAGAAATCATGGAGAGCTCGCGTGACAGTTTAGCTGGTTTCCGCAGAAACCCCCTATCGAGTGCAGCGCGGGAATATATCGTCGGGAATGCGGCTTTCAGGTGGCCACACCGACTAATGCGGTCAGCGGCGCAGCCTGTCCGCTATCAATCATTACCAGCCCGTCCGTACCTTGGGTAGCTCGCTGATGAGGATCTCCAATCAGTGGCCTATCGCTCAGATATCGTTTCTTCCCCCTATTTCCCATCACCCGAGAGTCTCTTCGAACTTAGCCAGACCTTCCCGAACGAAAAGCAGACCAACAGCAAGACGTCCGTAAAGAGAAACTCACGCATTGAATCCGTGGCTTGGCGTACTCAGCAACGCGCCCAAACGAGATGTCGAGATGAAATCGAGTCAGGTGGCTCAAGGTCTAACTACTCCTCGCTCTGAGCGCTGACCCCTCAACTCGAGACGTCGGAACATGGACACAACCTGATGCCGTCTCGCCTCTCCGTTCAGTCCAGAGTTACACGTTTCTGTTCAGCGGTAAACTGGCATACCCCTGTCTGTTTCCAAAACGTGCGGGACACATTTCAGATCTTCGAACTTGCGACCGTGACAGGCTGATCCTCTTCATAGTCTCTGCGTTGCAGACCGCCCATACTCTGCATCTCACGCGCAGATCCAATCGGGCCCGAGTCGTTCCTATCGGTCTCGCGAGATACAAAAAGAATGGTCAAGAGCCCTTGGGGGGTTTGGTTTGGCAAAAAATAATGTCGACGTTGGCCTGATTCGAACAGACGCTCCCGAAGGAACAAGATTTCTAGTCTTGCGCATTAGACCACTCTGCCACAACGCCGGGTCATTGGATGATTTTGTGGGCTGAGATTCGCTACAAGAAGGGCGGCTGCCCAGGCCCTCTCCATTGGTCGCGACCCCGGCCGAGTGCTCATTACTGCGGGGCATCCAGACGTACCTCCTGTCGACATGCTTCATCCGATTGCCGATCAGGTGGTGTTTGAGGATGCGCTTGATCTTTGACTTTTGCTGATTTGCGTTGATGTAAGCAATTTTATTTTCCGACCTGCTGTAGGTTGTTTCCATCGCCCTATGGTGGAAGGAGTTTAAATTGACGATGTGATGGCTGGCTCTCTGCCAGAGAGCGGGGTCAAGAGTTTAGGGTTGTTAGTTGTGTTCTCGGACTCTGCTATAGTTCCGCTTCCTTACTGCCCACGTCCAAGTTGGACGCTCTATGCATTGGTTAGACTTTTATTTTCTTTTGGTGATCTGTTTTGAAAGTTCCGAGAGAAAAGGTTTCTGGAGTGATTGAATCATACTGATTAGCTTCCGGTAGCTTGCTCAACTTTGGGTGACGTTCATCGCAGTTGAGCCAGTCGTTGTTGGGGACTGGCGATGAGGTGTTCGAGGACGAGGTCGAGGCGGTTCCTTTGATTTGTTTCCGAAACCTTGCGTTCTGATCTTTTGTTTTCTGGCAAATAGCTTGTAGGATTTTGCAGTGAACTCGCTCGTCATGGAATGTGGGCAAAACAAAGGCGTTGGCATCTGGGTTCGTCACTTTCTACTACTTGTTCTGTGACATGGAGAGACATGCTTCAACGTATATGGTTCCCTCTGTAGCGAATAGCCGCATACTGAGGTGTATTTGAAGTGCACACGTCAATGTGAAAACTTCTGCTACATTGGTTCGTGCGTGATTCTTTTCGAAGTTGCTATTCAGTATGCTTCGAATGTCTTTGGATGTCTTTTCCCGCTTTTGATATGATGGAAATCGCTTAGCTGGACAGTGCATTCCTCCGATCCTCGAATCCAAAGTGCAGTGTGTAAGAAATCTGTCCGTGGATTCCAGCTCGCGAATGAGCGTGCCCAGAAGTCAGGGCTCAATCAGTTGACAGTACGACAATGAGACAGGCGCGCAGCCGTCGACGATGAGTCCCCTTCCTTCTATGCGCTGTTCCAAACAGACGCTCCTGGTTGATGTGGCACATTGCCTTTAGTACACCGAGGAAGCTGAAATTGCTCCCTCTGATTTTATCAGCCCCTTTTCTATTATTCTGTGGCTGTCCTAGTTGGATTTCTCGAGGCACGCAGGTAGGTACAAGAGGGAGCCGAGTCGCGGCCAAAGCAAGACCTCTAGAAGCCACCCAACTTGATGTTGACCAACGTCCAATGCAACCGTTCAACACATGCCAGGCTGTTTCGATGCCCGGGGCAGATATTTAAGCAGTCCTCATCCCCTTGTTTCTAGCAAAAGCGGACGGAGCACCGTCGGTTCTTGGCAACGACTTGAGGCTCATCCACATCATCATCAGCGCTTCGCCAGAGTTGTTGTCGGTGATATGTGTATCGACTTCATAGTCATCGGGTAGCATACCTGGAAACATTACTGGAGAACCAGAAATGCAGAGGTCTTGTCTCTCGGCTGTGGATGTCCGTCTCGGGCTGGCGCTTGTACGCTGGGGTATATGGAGCTGATGGGCAAGATTGGTCTAGGACAAAGTGGCTGGGCTTTGTCTTAGGTGTTGCGCTGGTGATTTGTATGTGAAAGGGTAAGAAGAGTATAAAACAACTTGACATAGTAGTCCCCCTCCCCCCATTGGAGCTTTGCGATCGGCAATCTCCTTTCAAGCTTGTTACTAAGTGGCAGGCAACCGAAGTAGTATGTACAACTTCTATAAGACCGTCAAGAGGGTTGCTGCTTGGAAAGTGGCCCGGAAGATCCTGCTGATGTTCATGGTATAGCTAGCGGGCGTTTGTTCTCACCAGCCATCAACACATCCGGATGTTCTTCTCAGTAATCACTTGGTATCCATGTTTCTCGCTCTTCAATAATCGAGGTCCGTCCCGCTATAGCTATGATGCTACGTTTTCGCTCTGGGAGTTGCCGACTCCTGGTGAGAACAGCGCTTAGAATACATTATTTCCTTTGGTGACGCCAGGATTCTCAACTTTGCAGTGACAGAAATCCGTCAAGGTGGCATATTCGTATTGTCGAGTACGGGGCTACAAATCTGTCGAGCAACCTTTTTCATGTTTGACAGTATGGCTAGACCAGGAGCCGCTCAGGATCGTGCAGAGAAATATTGTCCGTGAGGTAAAGTTGCGAAATGTGATGTAAACAATCCCGACAATGGATTTCTGGTTTGTGCTACAGGGAGTTGGCTTTGGATGTTTCGCAGTACTGACAAACCGTGGCATCATCTCCCATATGATATGTCTGAGTAGCTAGACTGGCCGGAATTCACTTTTACTAAAAGATGTTATAGGTTGTAGATCAGAAGAACTAAAGCACTACTGAACGGCTTCTAGCAACATGCTTGCTTGCCTACATTTATCGTTTGAAAGCTCAAATAATTCGCACTGAGAGATGAGCACCTGACGTCCTTGTTCCAACAACGCGCTATGGCTTGGTAAACATACAGGTTCAAACATCCAGAGCTTATCGTCATTAACCTCACCGCGCCTCTACATCTTCCCGCGCCTTCTCCCGAACATCCTCAAACTCTCAGACGTGAGAGACAAAAAGATGCAGCAGCAGAGACGTCCGTGTTCTTGGTGATCACAAATCGACGTCTAATTCCCAACCCTTCGGGCATCCTGCTCATGCGGCTCATAAGTCGGTTCATTCTCCGGTGCCGCATCCGGGCTCTTATCATTTCCGTGCCACGGATCATACTGTTTCGCGATCGCCATTTCCCTGCTCTGCTCGGTCCACTCTTCGTGAGTCGGGTACCGCGCCGGCTCTGCATTCTTCTGTATCATCTCTTCGAGAGTCGGGTACCGCTCGGGCTTTGCGTCCTTTTGCTCTGGCTGCTTCGGCATCGGCTCGATATTCACCTCCGGCTCGGGCTTGGGCTCGGGCTTCTTCTCCGGCAGCTTGAACGGGTTCTTCTTGGGCATCTTGAACGGATCCCTGTGCGGCCACGACCTGAATGGGTTCCTGTCCTTGAAGGTGTTGGGGTTGTTGGGCGGGATCCTCCATTTGGGGTTCTTGAACGGGTTGTCCGGCTTGGGCCGAGGCTGCGGGAAATCGAACTTGGGTTTATATTCCTGAGACTGCTTGTACTGGTTCTTGGTGTACGGTCGGGGGTCCTTGTTGGGGGCTGGGTTGTCCTTGTTTATCGGTCTTGGGTAGCCTGGCCACCCGGTCGCTGGCTTCGGATCTGCCATAGAGGACGCATCGCTGTCGACGTCGAGGCCCTCGAGGTCTTGGGCGAGGGGCTCTGGTTTGGCGGCGTTGAGGTCGGTTGGGGGAGGGGTGATTGGGGTGGCGATGACGGAGAGGGTGGCATAGATGCCGACGAGGAAGAGGGAAGTACGCATGTTGCGTGGGTTGGATGTGTAAAGGCAAGTATTTTCAGTTGGTATGGTGATGATTTGATGACTACTTGTAGAGGAAGAATTTTGAGAGTTCTCCCTGGTTGACGGAGCGATGCAAACTTGTGCTCGCGCCGGGAGATGGTATGCTGAACAAACCTCGTTCAGTAGGAGATCACTTGAGGTGTGGCTTTATATAAGTTCAAGGCACGCAACCTTGCGAGCCTCTGAATCTTTCTCAAGGGTGTATCAAAGGGTCATGATGTCGTTGTAGACCTGACTCTGACGTGAGTTTGTGGGATAGCCCCGAGGGTCAGGTCGGAATTAATATATCTAGTGAATACCCGGGCGCCATCATCTCTTCTAAATACTGAGGTACTTTTGGAAGTTTTGCCTTCTTCCTCGCAGATGCCTCTAGATGTGGCGTTGACTAGGAGCTTTGTTGGTGCCCTTTCTCTAAAAGTTACCCAATGTCGATCTCCATCACGACTTCTCGTGGTGAGAAGAGAGGTTGATAATAATGGTGTGATGTTATCCTTCATCTCTTCGACAGAGCCCTCGTCATCATTTCGAGGAAACTATGACCGTCTGCTCCTCACTTGATGATGGTCAATAATACCTCGCCCTCAAAAGAGTGATGATCCCGTGGTTCTGTAGACCCGGCTGAAGAATAAAACTTTCTACCTATCCATAGCAATAACCTAGAAACTCTGAATTATAATTCTCTTATTGAACTTGGTGGACTGACGATGCCTCTCTCATTTGGCGTCGTGAAAACAGTGAGACAACTTCCCAATCGAGTCTGGCGAAGAAAAAGAAAAGCGCTGTTACGGCGGAATCCTTCCTCCACGCCACCCAACCTTGATGATAAGCACTAGGAGCCCGGGTACCCGCCTCGGCCAACTAACGAGTGGCACACTCGGGAGACGTCAAAAAAGGCCGTCCAGGTCACCCCATACAAACCGGCGAAGTTCGTTCGAAGCACATCATCGACAACTTTGTTAATGAAATCGTCCCTTGATCCTGTGGAGTGAACTTTATACAAAAGCTTGTGAGCAAACCACTCTAGACCATTCGATGCAGGCTCACGCACCATTGGAAATGGCGTCGCAGAACGCCCATCAACCGGTTCAATCGGGGCCATCGCGTACGGATCCGGGCCCGGAAGAGTACCTCAACGATCCAAGATTCCACCAGTCCTTCACCTTACCCCCCGGCAATGACCGCCCGGATCCATTCAAAGTCACGTATTGCGACTACGGATATCGCAACCTGGACAACCCAGAGCGCGAGCATGTCTTGCTCTTATGCGGTCCCCTCCTGGGAAGGTAAGCCAATCATCTCACTCATAAACACACCTCGCACATCACGGCACACCTCATCGCTCAAGGTCTGACGAACATACAGCCGCTACCTTCACATCGCCAAAGACGCCCTGGCAAAGAAACACAAGGTCCGCATAATCCACCCAGACAGACCAGGCTTCGGCGGCACAACCCACGTCGACGCGCCCGACCGCGTCCGCCTCTGGCTCGAAATCGTGCCCGCCCTCCTCGCGCACCTCTCCGTCCGCCACGTCTCGCTGGCCGCCCACAGCGGCGGCACAATCTACGCCCTCAACACGGTCCTCCACCTGCGTCACCTCCTCTCCCCCGACCGCCCCTACGTGGCCCTCGCCGCGCCGTGGGTCCATCAGTCCCGCTCGGGTGCCGCGCTCATGACGCTCGCGGGCGGGCTGCCGGAGACCGTGCTGGGCGGCTTCCACACGCTCGCCGGGTTCTCGCTGAAGCATGTTGCGCCGGTAGCGGGCGCGGTGAGTGGGGTTTTTCCTAGTATGCAGGCTGTGAGCGGGTTGCTGCCTGCGTCGATGCGAATGGGCTCTGCTGCCGATCCTACGCCTCCTCCTGCGGTGGAAGCGAACCCCATGGCAGAGTTTGAGGAGAAGATTTGGCCGCAGCTCATTCAAAAGGTGTATTCTGAAGATACGAGAGGGCTCAGCCAGGATGCCATTTTGCTGCTGAAGAGGGCGGGGCACTCGGATTACTGGGGCTCATGGAAGGACTATGACGAGCTCGTCACCCTGTTGGCGGAGGCTGAACACAATCTCGATGTTGGCGTCGTCAATGGCGCTGCAAAGCTCAAGGTTGATGTATTTTGGGCGGAGGCGGACCACATGATTGGTGTTGATAAGGGTCCCAAGTGGTTTGAGGATTGCTGGAGGGCTGAGCAGCGCCGTGACGTGATTGAGTTCTCTAGTTGTGTTGTTCCCGGGACTGATCACGATGGCATCTTGGAGTCGAAGTTTGATGTGTTTGAGAGGATACTCCGTCAAGTTGGCGAAAACAGCGAGGAAGGGAATTCGGGCTTGCCATCTGCGGCATAGCACGAGACAGACTATACAATTAGAGGTAGAGAGATTTGCAACTTCACCACGAGGAGCACCTCTATAGTCGACATGTTTGCCGCGACGCTCATGTACATGGCAAACCTCGTAACACAGACTCTTGAACCTTTACCCCTTGAATGGCCGAAAAAAAGAGAAGAAAAAACTCGAGCCGAGGCTTCCCCAAAACCTAGTACTCATCAACTCTATCCCCACACATGCCTGGATTTGGAAGAGACATCAGACGACGTAGAGTTGGTGGCAGACAGCCGAGAAGCCTTGGAAGCAGTCCAGAACTGGCCCTTCAAGTTCTCAGGGTGCCGTGAGGTAGCCGAGCCGTCTTCAACCTCGGCAGGATCATGAAAGGTAGCTCTGGAGAGTCTTCAAGAAAGCCTCTTGCAGTTACTTGAGCTCTATCGCGCTCAGAAGGATTGCCGTGATCTAGGGCCAGCCTTCAGAGCAGTCCTTTCCAGCTTTCCTTACTACAGTCAATCAACATGAATCCAAACAATGTTTGTAGAGTCCCGAATCGCGCTCTCTTGGTAATCGGCAAGCCGGACAGAAGATTGATCATCGAGAACAAATTCGCTGTCCCCAGGCGTTGAGAACATGGTCGCAGTCCGGACAGGTTTACCGAGCTAAGCCATGACTCAAAGATTCGGCATCTCGTGACAACGCGCTAGAGAGAGTACACCATATGGTTGAGCATCGTGCCAGGATAAAGCCCTGGAATATGTTGGGGTAAATCTTGCCGATGATCTGCGTTCAACTTGTTGTGCCTTCACAGATCCCGGATATTGAATGAGTTAGAGCCCATGATAACAGCCCTTATGCAATTCAGCCCAAAATCTCCGATTATGAAAGATCAAGCATGAGTGCTGCAAAGTCCGGAAAACCGCGTCTCATAGGCCATCCATACACAATTACACCGGAGCGTTGAGAGACGTTGCAGTTGGGGAGTCCGAGACAGTGCGTTCCCCGGGGTGCCGCCCAACGGGGGTGGAGCTGGAGAATGCTAAGCTTCGATGACAATTGTTAATGACCCCGCGGAGTCGTCGCCGGCGGCCCTATCAGACTCCATCAGGCCCCATGCGCCGAGGCCCAGTGGAGGATACGGGCCATGCCCAAAGCGGAAGCTTCCCCCAAGCTCCCCTCTCACCTCGACCCCGAACACCAAGCTCATGAAAGTCATCGAGCTTACTCCGACCTCAACTCACTCAACTCAACTCAACCCGTCCCGCCCTTCCTTCATACGCCACTTACCAAGCCATACTATACCCTAATCCACCCGTCATTTCAGACAAACCAAAGCAAGCAATCAAAGCAAGAAACGAACCCAACTTACACCGTGTGTGACATCAAACACACTCCCAGAACCACCACAATGCCGCCAACTACGCTCACAACCCCCCTCACCCTCCAAATCCCCGCGGAACCCCTCACTCGCGCCGCCTTCGCCCCCTTCGGCGACGTGATCGAGAACCCTCACCCGGAAGTCCGCCCCGCCGCCTCCCTCCCCGCCACCGTATCCGCCTCCTTCAGCGCCGTCTCCGCAAACCAAGGCACAGCCATAAAGTACCAAAACGTCTCCTCCCCTCTGGACCTCTACCCGCAAGCTCCCTCCCGCGCCGGCCGCCCCATCGTGAGCATCTTCTCCTGCGCCGCACGGCAGCTCGAGCCCGCCGCCCCCCTGGCGCAACCGCCCATCTCGACGCTGCTGCCGTATACCTACGCCGGTCCCAGCAGGGGCGGCCGCTTCAGGGTGAGCGTGCTGGAACGACACCCTTTCACGACACAGACGTTTGTCCCCTTTTCTGCTTCTTCGTCCGTGAGCGGCGCGGCGTACCTCGTCATCGTGGCACCTACCCTCCCGACCCCCAGCGCGCAGACGGATTCCCTCCCAGCGCCGGCCACCGGCGGCAAAGGCCGGGGTCTCCCGGACATCAAGGGCCTCAAGGCCTTTGTGGCGTCCCCGGGCCAGGCCGTGACCTACGGTGCGGGAACGTGGCATGCGCCCATGGTTGCGCTGGGACCGCAGGGCACGGCAATTGACTTTGTCGTGACGCAGTTTGCGAGCGGCGTGGGCGTGGAGGATTGTCAGGAGGTAGAGTTTGCGGGCGCGGGCGAGGACGCGGGTATCGTGGTGCAGGTTCCTGAGAGGATGCCTGTTGTTGCGAAGTTGTGAGCGGAGCGGATGGCTGAGATATGCTTTTTGCCGCGGGAGGGCGGCAAGTCAATGGCGATGGGGAACACTTGATGATGGCGCTTGTGTGTACGATGTCTGTTCAGCAAGGGAAGGGAACCCAGCCCGAGTCTGCCTCGGCATGTTGAAAGAGTGCAAGGTGGCGCCTCTGTGACTGGGCAAAGGGGCGGTTGAACCAGCTAGAAATGCTATCAAATTGGCCACGATTTCCCGTAGAGGCGGAAGGTCACGAGGGTATGAAACTTTACACAGTCGCCAAGCCATGCCGGGCAACTATTGCTGCTTGGCTCTCTCCGTCACGCCCTCGGTAGGCGATTGAGAATTACGTGGAACGTCGTTTTGGTGATCAAATGATCTTTAGATATTTTCTGTGCTACCTTGTCAAACTCGAGCCCTGCAAACAAACCAGATTCGTTCCCA